GGTCTGATACCTTCGCAGGCTATACTTCCTCTTTCTGCTCCGACTCCACGATCGTAACTTCACCGCGACTGCTCAGCCCCGTTGCCCTTTCGACGATGATGGTAGTGGAGCGAGCTACGAGAGAAATCCGCCTCAGTAGAGTGGAGTCGCGCTCCAAAGTGATTTATCTTCGGACTCGCGGAGCGACGGCTGGACGGGCCGAGGGGCCGGTGGCCGGAGCTTCAGACTTCGTAGACCATGCCATCATTTTCATGGAGCTCTCCATCGTGGTGGTGGTGGTGGTCCTCGTCTTCGACATCATTGAAGCCGGTGAACGCTAATACGCACAGTTTACGCTTAGTTTGACTCCCCGAGAGATTTTTCGACTTCTGAGGCTGTAAGAGAAATTCGTCGGTGATTTCTCCCGGTGACGGGCTGCTGTCCTTTCACCCCGTCTTCTTCGAACCTATCGTTGCCAAAGCTCCCTTCCGCGGATTTCACCGGGGCCGCTGAGAGAGAATAACGCTGATTTCAGTGACAGCGTCGACCTTCGGCGGAACATATTCTTCCGCCGACTAGAATATTGGACGCATAATGAGAGTCCACAGGAACTCGACCGAAATACTTCCGTGTACGCGGCCTGTATTTGACGAGGAACAATGCAGCATTCGTTGTTTTGCGCGGAAAAAGGCGCGACCCACCAAACAGAGCTCGGTGTGGGATTGCCGTTGGTCAACAGGACAACAATCCATATGATAGTGCAACGTTGCCGTGTTGTCCTGGTGGTTCAGGGCGTCCATCAAACAGGTGTACGTGTTCTATCTTCCCGCGATCCGCTGGTCTGTGAGTGTGGGCGCGCGTAGGAATGTTTGTGAGCAAGTGAGTGTGTGCTTAATGAATAGGCCACTCACTCAATCAGGTTATGATCAATAAATCAAACGTGTCTAATATTTCCCTAATGGTCAACTCGTGTAAACGAACAAAGGACACCATACACTCAGTAAGGGGGGCGATCTCTCACGACACGCTCCTCTGCCACTCGATTGGTAGGCATTGCTTCGTTCCACCTTACGGAGTCCAAGTTACCGCCATGACGTGATGCGGTAAGGAGGATCGATCGGAGGTTGATCAAATCATTCGACATGATGGCGGCAGCAGGGAATCGTCCACATTCGATTCGAGGTCCGAACCCTTCGCACCGAATGTGGGGTTTGTCAGCTCGATTCTAGATTGAATTCTCCAGAACATCGGCATGGAATGGGCTCAGATGGATGACGAGCCCCAGAGGGAATCCCGAAGCTCTTGACCCTTCCTTCGGGGCCTCTGCGGATGTTGGCGAGGCTCTTCGGAAATCTCCTCTATTCGGGGTCAGTGACCCGCTTTGAGGTCGACAGCGCTGTCGTCCCGGAGCCTGAACCTCAGTCATCTCATCGATGGAGCTCACGACGTTTCCGTGGTCGGTGATGGGCGACATTTCAGAACTGGGTACAGAGGGATCGCGGCAAGACTGGCAGGCGAACGATCGGAAAGGTAAATCGTTGCCAAACATCTGAATTGAGTGAATTGGAAGCGGATCTCGTCGGGCCAGTGGGTGATTGGTCGATTCTCGCGCTTTCGCTCGTCCCGCAGACCCGTTTCATCGCCCGCCGGCGGCTTTCTCGCTTGCCAGCATGAACGACTAAAGAAATCATCTGTTGAAATGGTAACTATCGGATTCCGTTAATGGACGTCCCCTGTTCTCTCCCTCGCCCCCGCCACTGTCTTCTCTCGCCTTGGGGAACCGCCGACCGCCCTCCGGGCCCCTATCAGCGAGGCTCTACGGAACCGAACGATATTCCGAGGGAGTTCGAGCTCCCGCGGAACCCCCCCCCCTCGAGACAGCTATTGCCCTTGTCGAAGCTTTGAACAGATGCCTGCTATTATCTCCGTCTCCTCACCTCAGCAGCCGCTCCAAGGACGGGAACGCAGCTTCCAAAGAATCGCTCGCACGTTTCGAGTATTCACCGTAACTCCTCACGGTCTCGAAGTACGGTCGTTCGCGAAGATTGATAGTCTCCTGAAAATGGAGGATTATGTCTCAAAAATTATATTTTGTAATACCGCGCATTTAGGAGGCATCGATTCCGCTGAGCGGCACGGTGCAACCCTACACTTTTCGATTGAATCTCGGATCGAAACCTTGCCGTTGTTTCGTGTCCGTTCACGTGGATGAATTCAGAATCGGATCAACTCCAATCGGCTGAACAAGATGCTCTCGGCCTCCGCTTACACGGGCCGCGGCTATCATGAATACCGCCTGTAACATCTAACTCGCTCCTGCTCTCTCCCTGCGCCCGCTCGTCGGGGCGCACGTACACTCGTCCACAGCAATACTGACGATCGATTGGGTGACCTCAATTAGGACCAGTGACGAGCTCGGGCTCGGAGTCAATCTCAACCGATTGTTCGTCTTCTGCGGTTTCCGCGGACCACCCTCTTCCCATTGTCGTCATCGCCCCGTTTGACACTCAGCTGGTCGCGGCAAGAGACTTAAGTTTCCGGGAGGGGACGCGGGTAGTGTGGACGCTACGAAAGCTCTTTCTGTACCGAAATACGGTTCAAGTTTCCGACTAGACACCTGATATAATGCGATTCGTCGCAACGCAAGAGGCAACTTTCCTCAAAGACTTACCGTGTTGGGCCTGATGCGGCACGGAACCTCTTTGTGAGCTGAGCTATCTGTGCGAGGACTCGAACGGAAATGACGATGTCATCCTTGTCACACGTTGCCGTGTTAATACGCAGTTGTGAGCCTCTTCATAGTATACAGTTATTCCCTCGCATGTGCTCAGAGGTGTGTTGCTAGGTGGTGCCGCGTTCCTCTCACAGAGGAATGATTCGCGATCACATCGAGGAATCAAACGTCGACGACCGCGTATACCCCGATCGAGTATGTCCTGGAATTGTTTAGGGGTAGTCTCCGTATTATTCGGGGTCATCCAGATCGTCTTCGTACACTCGGCGTGCTTGGCGATCTTTTTTATTTTTGATCATCATTTTGTCGATGTTCTTGCGCTTGTTGGTTGTTCGAGATATCGTCGTACTTTCCAAGTTGCGATTCTCAGGGAGAGAAGCGTTGCCTAGCAAGCGAGCGGCTCTCGAGGACAACGGCTATATAAACTGGTTGAGGCAACAGTTTCTGCGGATCCATCTATGAGGCATGCCAACAAACGTGACCTGAGTTGACAACGCGGCTCAGCAGAGCCGCGAGGCAAGCCGACTTTTTTTTGTAGTAATTCCGCAATCAAAGCCTCACTGACTGGCCGCCGGCTCGGCCCTGTTACAAAGGCCGCATCGAACGGTGCGGTTTTGTACTGATGTCGACCACGCGAAATCGGAGCGTCGTCGTAGCGAGCCGGCTTGCGCAGTCGGCCGCTTGCTAAAAACCCGCGAGAAGTTGCTCCGGCGCAAATCGACGAGCTTTACGACCTCGACCAGGGTGGATCTGATATTTATGTCTTCCCATATGTCTGAGTGCGGTCTCTACTATTTCTCTCACAAGCACAGGAGCAGTCGGAGAAAAACTGAGCCGGGGCAGTATTCGACGACGACCACTCCGAGCGAATTGTTAGCCGCGTCCAGGAAGCGATATGGTCAGAAAGGGGACAGAGGGAAGCTGTAAGTAGGCAGACGAAACCCTCCGCAATGTAAACAAGGAACTATCTCGAAAGTCCAAAACAGGTCGATCCCCTCGATCTACAGCATGAGCGACACCCTCGAGATTCTCCCGCAGACCTGGGGCTGTTTTGACTTTCGATGACGAACTCCCTCTCGGTCTCCATCGGCTTCCGCTCTCTTCGAGGACGCACCGCGATGCCATACCTTCCATGACTGCGCCATAGAGCGTCCCCGAGATTCATCATGCAGAATGCGACCTCGGTCTCATGATCAATCGGCGTAACGGCGGGCGGGGGAAGAAAGGTTGATTTCCTCGGGAGAGAGAACTTCACGCCCAATCCTCAGGTCTGCGTGTGCGGCTCTAAAATATTCTACGGGCGACAAACTCATCTCAACTCTCGTGTCTGATGGAAGAGTATACGAGAGACGGTTTCGAGGCCCTACTCTGGATTCGGTGACGCAAGCACTGAGGTGCGGTAGCGCGCGACTGAACGAGCATCCATTTGGAAAAATAATCCTCTACCTCATTAGGAAGGCGTAGCTCGTACTGGAAGTTTCTCTCATTTAACCTCCGGAGCCAGCCGTGGAAAAATGCCGGAAGGCTCACTCAGACATGCAGCGTTATTTAGTTTAAGGGAGCTTAAATCTGCTCTCAGCTTGCGCTGCGTCGAGCCTACGTGGGTCATCAGACGATGCTAATGCTTTCCAAGGTGAGCTCGGTCTAACGCCACGCGGCTCGCGCCATGCTTCGCCTTGACGAGTGAAGGGAGCAAGCCAGTCGGGGAAGCTCGCTATCGGTAAATTATCATACGTCAGCCGCGGAGTCGCCAAATGTCGCGTCGTCCTCCCCAACGAGTTCTGAATCTCGGGTCCATCTGAACCGGGGAAATCTTCCGACACGAAATCGAAGAGCTCGCGTAGAATCTCCCGGGATGGACGTGAGCAGTGATTTAGCTGATTTTTCCTCGACTGTCAGTCTGCTATGCCTAGAGGGCCCATCCTAGAACCTCAGAGTGTTGCCTCGTAACTTCATAATTAACATGGCCGCGAACATCCACGCAAGAACCTGAGCGGGCTGTTGACAAGTCTGCTTAGGATGCTGCCGAGGAGCATCCGCGGTGGGACGAGGAAAAAAGGATCCTTCCACGTCGCTGCTATCTTTCGGCGTTTGTGCGCGAATTGCCTTAGAATGGATTCTCGGAGCTCTTTCGATCGTAGACTCGGTAGGAGGTGAATGATTATATGGTTCTCAGGTGCAAATCGCGGAATGAGTACCTAATTGAAGGATAAACGGTCACGCCACGGAAATTGTCTGAATCCATGTGTCTAAAGTGCGTGTTTCTTCTTCCGCAGGTTTGAGGAATGCGAAACTCCCCTCGTTCGCGGAGCCGATCTCCAATGTCACTGTGGCCGCTGGTCGGACAGTTACGCTGTCATGCGTCGTCGAAAACCTCGGCGGTTATAAGGTAAGCATTTTCGCGAGAGGGCAAGCATTGGATATTCTCCGCTGATACGACTAGGAATTCCCTCAGGTCGAAAGGCAGAATAGGCTCGGAAGATGAAGACTGGTGGAGCTTTATATTATACCATCTAGCTAATATATCGGGAGAGACGCTCTCCTCACTACGAAGATCCGATTGATCGAATTTTTGGGGAAGTTCGAACGCCCTGAATTGGCTTGGGCTGTGACATCTCCGCTCTAGGACTGTGGAACCCTCGCAGATTAGGCAGAATCCCTATCCATCACGCAGCCATGGTTTCCCTCTGGGCAAGGAGACTCGTCAACCGAATCGTCCTTTCGTCTTTCGGCCAGTAATGCAGCCGCTCGTAGTCGCCGTGAATCTTTAGCGTCTCTTCACGTATTCATATCCATGGCAATTTGTGATCGGAAACGAGGAAAGAAGAGTCGGGAGGGGAGCGGGAGGAAGAATAAAGAGGAACTTCGTAAAGTCGGCTTTCGCAGCGCGTATATTCCTGTCACTAAATTCCTCTTTGCCGACGTCGCTAGTACAACTACCATCACTACTACTGCTTCCACTACAAGAAAAAGACTCAGAAAACGTCTCGCTCCTTCACTCACCGACTCGGACGCTCAACTGCAGACTCTGAAGATCTCGAAGCACGTACCGGCCGCTGAGAAATGGGCTCCAGCTCACGCCTTCGAGGATTGAGCTGCCCGCCCCCGACCACCGTCCCACTATACATTATGTTTATGTGCCCGTTTGCTATTCCAGTCATATGACTTTTCGTGTTATTCCATGATTTCGTGCGAAATCATTCTGAACTCCATCGAGAAGCTCGAGTCATTGAGGAATCACTTTGACACATTATCGAGCTCCCGGAGCAAGTGCGCGAGCAAGTCCGCCAAATTGAAACTTTGTGAGAGGGAGCGCGGAAGGGAAGAGATTGAAGTTCCGCGCAGGACGACTTGGGTCGGCTCGCTCGTCCCCTTCATTCATCCATCCATCCATCTATCTTAGCTTTATTTATCATCGTCGTTCCTTTTTAGGCGGTCATTAAATGTTTTATTCGAGGAAGCCTCTCCCCTAGTCGTGTGCTGTCGCTGTTGCTCGCATCTCGGTTGTCTCGGTTTTGAACCGGACGCCCCCTAGAATCTCCCTCGCCGTAATGGTGAGGAAGTTTCCCGTTTGCGGAGAACTCTGAAATTTCAATCCCCAGTCTGTCGTACAGTTCTGTGAGTCAGACGATCTTCCGCGGCTGTCGCCACGGAGACCGCCAATGCCCACCTGGGCTGATATCCGGTCGGACCCGTTTCTCTCCACGGTCGAAAATCCTCCGTGGGTTCCGGCCGTCTCCACCCCATCGCGGGATTCAGTGGATCAGATGCCTCAGTCCGATTATGCAAAAACGCGAACACGAACTACATAAGATTATCATGGACATGCGGTGTTTTGTCAGGCGCAATGTCCGTCTCATCGATCGTGTAAAGTTTCGTGACATCAAATTCGTAAGCAGGTCTATCGTGATTTCCATGGGGAATTCATTATAGCTCGAATCGATGAAACAGGCGCGGCAAGGAGCGATCTTCCGGGCAACTACTTTTTGAGGACGTGATAAGTTCTTTCCGGTGTCCCTTCCATGAACGCTTTCGGTTGACTCTCAAGGAACTGGTCAGGTTTCTAGCGGTTCCTCTAAGAAAAGAAAGAAGTAGCTCAAAAAGTCAAATTCAGAGATTCGCCGGGGGAAACGTCGCGTGTTACGTCCGCCTCTATCGTCTTCCGCTTGTTGTCTCCTTTCGAACGACAAATTCTTACCGAGGTGAACAAGCAGGCCGGCGGTCGGGCAGAGGACGAGGAGACAACGACAGTGAGGACGCGGTGCTTGAGTAGCAGCAGCAGCAGGAGGAGGCGTGACAGAGTTAAATCCTAGACGTGTCACTGAATGAATCAGGAGTTATTACGCACGCGACGGTGGGCTGCAACGAGCCTCAGAGCCGCACCAGGGACGGAACTGATGCGGGGAGAAGACTCGGAGGCCTGGCGCCCGGAAGTCTGTTTGAGGGACCTACTGCCGCCGCCGCTCCCAACAAAAAGCTTTCAAAGAAAGAAACACTGCCAAAAAATAACGAATATGGGCCCGATCGGGCGAGATGGGGTGATGAATAGGGGAGCCGACTGAGTGAGCTTATCGACAGAAACGGCTGTAGATGACGTTTGCACGAGAGAATAAAAAGAAACATTCGCACGCACGCAGACAGGCAGGCCGGCCGGCCGCCAGGCTGGCTGGGAGGCAGACAGGCAACGAGTCGATATTTAAACAATTTCGACCCGGGACGTGTCTCGAGTTGATGCAGGGAGAAGGAGGGAAAACCGATTCCTCTTACGCTTTTCTTCCCGATTTTCACGAATCCGCCATTTTCATACCCCGATAACACCTTCATGTACGCATGCCTGAATACTAAGCGCTTCCCATAGTCGACCTCGGTCAAGTTGCGTATCAAGCGCCAAAACGCCTGTTCAGGCAATCATGTAACCGATACAGCCATGGGAACGTCGGCTAGGCATGGAATCCGCTCCGAGCCCCTTTTCTATCCGGGCTGAGGGAACTTTGGCACACGGGACTCGCGAGGGTATTTCCTGGGATGGGGGACCTACCGCGTACCAAAGACTCTCCTTGTCCTTTTCATCATTTCTCGACGAGATTTTACGACGAGGAAGATTTACCGCTTGATTGGCACCGATGCCGATCGGCGTGTCCATCAAGGATGAGAATTGAAAGAGAGAAAAAATTATGGGGCATGGAAGGGTGAGAGACGAACAGGTGACGCAGGCGTCGGGTTGTGATTAGTGAGTGAGCCCAAAGCGGAACTTCAAGCCGATCGTGAAGATGCTAGACATCATTAGCGGGGTATCGACCTGATTTTCTCGAACCACCACTTCGTCCCTCCTTCGTCTGGCAGTCGCCAACGCAGTTCTCCTCTCTTTTTCCTACTCTGGGCAGCCATTGAAAACATATGAATAATTTATAAGGCGCCTTGACGTCGGTCGATCGTTCGGTTTCTCGGTCTACGCCGACGTCAGTGGTTGACATGGAGAGGATCCTGTTGCGATATTTCCTGCGAGGGAAGAACGAACGATCGAGCAGACGAGCGAGACAGCGAACAAGCGACGAACAAGCATCGGGATCAAAGGTCAGGGAGGAGAAAACGGCTCACCGAAAAACGAGCCAACAACAACCGCTCCGGCGGTCGCGGCAAGAAGGGGTACGATGGTTCACAAGACGACAAGTTGTCTTCTTTTATTGCTTATTTACAACGCAACAACCGAGTGAGCAAGCGTGGCCGAGTGCGTGAGCAATCGAACTAAACGGCGGAACAGCTTATTAGTTGGCGTATAATGCGCTCAAATAAAACTGCAGCGCTCTAAACCACTTCGCGCAAAGACCTCGCAATCGCTCCGTGGAGTCCTGTATGATACATACGGCGCGGCGTGTCGTCGGCGCGACGCTTAATCCGCCGGAATCCCGCGTAGAATCCTCGATCTACAAGATCGTGTTGGAATCCATGGTGGGCGCCCCTGCGTTTGCTTACGATACTCGTGAGCCAGATCGGGAGGAGAAAGGTCGGGAAGTGCTCTGACTCTGGCCGTCCGCGCCGGGCAACAGTTGACAAACGGCCCGCTCTCTTCTCAAGTGGACTCCCCTCTCCCATTCGTTGTCGACTCGACCGACCACGCAACGAACGAGAAAGTCAGTCAAAGGGTCCATCCGTCCGTCCGTGCGACAGGAAACGAAGGCGCAACGCGAGAATGGAAGGAAACATTGAGTGCGGACGCCCGCTCCTTCGACCGACCGAGGGTAGCTCGGTGCGGAGAACGCGCGATCTCTGGCTGAGCGAGTAAGCATTTCTTCGCCGGCGGAGGACGATGTGACGGATGGAAAACGTCCGTAGCGTAGGGGCAAGAAGCGCCAGATCGCCTTCCCGCTTATGGGAAAGAGAGGAAGCGCCCGCTCGAGTCGGCTCGGTGCCTAATTGACTCCCCGCGTCGCGTCTTTTTCGGGGGAAAAAAGACAGATTTGATGAGAAAACAAATAAAAGAGGGAAAAACCCGACCGTGGTTTCCCGCCGTTTTTTTCCAGCGAAAGATAAAGATGAGAGAATATCCGCTAGACCGGAACGTGTCCATTACGCAGCGCGAGAGGAAATGCAGGCAGACTAGTCAGATCATAGTTTAATTCGCCCAGAAAAACGTTCAAGGGGCCACGATTCTCTGCCACACCGTAACGTTGTCTTCGATCCGCGGATAGCTATGTCTCAGGCGAGGTGAAATTTCCTCGGTGGACAAGTTCGGCTCACAGTGAGGTCGATGAGCTTCTAGATTTTTGTTAACACAGAGGAATAACTCCACCGATGAATGATCATGGATCCGGGGTGAGGTCACCCTGCTTCATGTTTCCAAATGACGGGCCTGGGCGAGCGAGCAGAGAGTCAGCGAGCGTGAATTCCCTCCAAGCATTTCTTCGAGGAACCGCTCCGTAGCGTCGTTCCCATCTCCCGAACCGGTGAGGAGCTCCACAAATCCCAGGACCAAGGAGTGAGACAATAGTTTCCCACTCTATTCGACTACCGGTTGTCTGAATCTGTTGACGTCTTGCGTTCGAGGCGAAAATTCGCTTTGCTCGAGGAAGGAACAGAGAAATCTTTTTTTGATCAGGGCTCCGAATAAAATGTTTGTTGCTCTCCCAGCTTTCCGCGGGAGGAAAGGCCTCCGGACGGTCCGTCGCACAGACTGGACCCCAGCTCCCAAAGTGAATTACTCCTCCTCTATCGTGGCATTCTTTCCCCGGTCGCTTTTCCCTCCTGATGTGTACTCTCATCCGATAAGATCAACGCTATTCAGCTGGACGTTGGCCACGTCTGCAACGACGACGTAGATAGAGAGGGACATCCTAACGGAACTTTGCTCAGCATTTGTACAGCATAACTCGACCTTATTCCTTTGTATCGCTCTTTTCTTTCCTTCTCCCGTTGTTGTCAATGCTCCCGAGAGGTCGCTGGATTTCTTCCTCACGAACGCCTCACAGCCCTCATTTTGAGAATGTATGCGCTTCAACGCGGACTCCATTCTCGAAATAGAGCCCGTACGAACGAATCGCTGTGTAAACATGCCTTGTGTAACCCCATCCCGGAAGACTTTCCCGGGAGGAGGAACTCAAGGGATGGGTACTGGGATGAGATCGGTCACTGTCCTCCACTCGGCATTAATCTTGAAATCATTTTCCAGGTGACTTGGATGCACATCAATCGCCATATGCTCATCTCGATGGACCGTCAATTGATCACGACCGATCCCCGTTTCGCCATCAGCTCGAATGGCGAACGCACGTGGTACTTGACCATCTCGAAGGTCCAGGACATGGACAAGGGCGAATACATGTGTCAAATTAACACGAACCCCATGAAAAAGATGATGGGACACCTACACGTTGTCGGTAAGCTCATTCACGGCGGATTCTCTCGCTCGATCGTCGAAACACTCCTCCGGGCTCACAGTCCGCCGTCAGTGGTAGAATCGGGACGAGATATTCGGTCCTCGAGGATGTTTCGGTCTCATTGCTATTATGTTTGGGCCTCATTTGCGGACGCGCGTAAAATCCTCCAGGCTCATGAAATCGAGCCCAGCCAGGATTCCTCCTGGAACATGTGTGCGACCAAGATACCGTCGAGGAGCGGAGAGCAGAGCGGCCACTGGACTTGGACGAGCTGGAAGCGATGCGGCCGTCAAACCCGAAGATCCTTGGCATTGTACGCCCTCAACATCCAGGCGCCATCCATTACCAAGCCCCGTACCCGTCCGCCCGTCCGAACCCTTGATCCTTTCGATTGGCCCTCGACCCCTCCCCTCGCCTCCATCGCCGCCGCCGCCGCCACCAAAGCCGCCACCCGATCTCCCTGCGAGGTCCCTCTCGGCCCCTGTTTGCATGCATAGACAAACGCATGCTGTATCGGCCTCTCGAGACCAATGAGGCGGTTCGTGTACTATACATATGCGACTGGGATGGGTTGCCATTACACGCTAGCACACCGCCACATGAGCTGTAACACAAGCAAAAAGGTAGCTGGCTGAATCGGCTGCCGATTCGTATCAGCATTGTATCATTGTGGTGGTCGTTGTTGCTGCTGCTGTTGTCGCTGCCGTAGTTGTTGTGATAGCTATTGTTGATGCATGACAAACTGGTTAATATTCGGAAGAAGGCGGCGATGGCGGCCGCATCCACAACGGCGGCGGTAGCAGCAGTCACAATAGAACGATGTCATAGTACCGGGGACACCACTGTCATTAACGCCGGTCCTGCCTACTAAATTAATTAGGATGGACACCACCACAATGCTTCACAAATAAATGCCTCCATGTAGAACAACTCGCCGACGATAACCTCTACACGCACAGATACATTCATATCTAACGATGCCCCCTCTCTCATTGGGGGAATACCCTTTTGTCCTCGCCGCCCCTCCGACGTTTTTCAGCTTATGCCCCCGAAAGCTCGGTCTCGCTCATCCTCTCGGGCTCGTACTCCCGAATGAACTATCTCACCCTTTCGTGCTCCCGTGGTCCGGAGAGAATCGAACCTGACTGAAGAGGCGATCGGCTTGATACTGAAAACACGGGGAGATGTACGACGGAATCTTCCATCGTACATCTCCCCCTGTTTGCACAGCATTCCCATGTTCTACTCTGGACCAGTACTCCGCTCCTACTCTCTCCTCCATGTCACTTTCCTATCCTGCTGTCTTCGAACGTCGGAAAAAGGACCCCGACGATTCCGCATGCGCTGGAGGACCCCGTCTTGTTGATACATGGGGGAGGAAACGTCTCGGCGATGGCGTCCTCGATTGGCGAAAGCCGACCAATGTCCCTGCGACGAATCGGAGGGACGAAAATTACGCCCGCTCACAAAAAAAAGGAGCTTCGCAATCCCGTTTGTCTGTCGTCGCTACCACCGATAAGCAAGAGGTCGGGACAGCCGCGGCGGTCGCCACTGGTCACCTCTATCTTCTACCATTAGGGCAACTTTTAATGGCTACGTTTATAATGATTTTTACCTCCGTGTGCCACAAATAGCTGCACGCTGATCCGATAGCGAGACCTGGTCGCCAAACGCTTCGTTGACGTTTCGTAGGCGACGATAATTCGGTCCATGGGAGACGGGAAGGAGAAAAAACGGCTCGTCGATAAATATCTGGGTCTGCACTTGTTCGATCAAGTCGATGAACGAGGCGAAAAATCGAAATTTGAGAAATTCTCCTCAAATCCGCGTATTGGTGACGGTAATACGTGCGTTCACGACACTTCGAGGAAGTAGTTGGAGGGCTGAAACGGTGACAAGAGGAACGTTTTGCTCCGTTCTCTCCCGACAGAATCGGTTTGCGGATCTGACTGCGGGCTCTACCCCGCCTCCGTAGCGCAAGCTCAAAACACCAGCAGCAGCAGGAACCGAGGAGAACGAGGACGTCGTTTTTCGAATGTGTGATCAATGCGCGAGAGTTAATTAGAAAAGATCGCTCGTCGGATCGCGTGTTAAGTCCAGCAGAAACCCAATTGAAGCTTCGTGGACGGCTGTCGGCTGCTCCGACCGCCTGGCGGAACGTCACCCCGCCCTCTCATTTCCCCCCGCAAACCGCGGAAGGGGGGCCGACTGAGAGACTGACTGACTGACTGTCTGGCTGACTGACTGACTGACTGACTGACTGACTGACTGACTGACTGACTGACTGACTGACTGACATGCTCTGTGGACGACCAGAAGCACAGCAGCACTTGCGGCGGCAGCAGCAGCAGCAGGAGCGAGGTTCTTAGGCCGCCCATGGTCGAATGCCTTCTTTATCCCCTTTTCCTCGGCCCTTACGGTGTCCATGATGAGTCGCGTCCGTTTCCTCCGGGCGAGAATGAAGCACGCAGATGTTCTCAAGAGAGATCGGCGCGACGTTCGAGAGAGCGTCCGCCGTCGCCCCGATTGTTCTCTCTGGCCGACCGTTTTAGCGTTCGGTTTGGCGATCGATCGCTTTCTCTCTCTCTCTTTCCCGGAGTCCCGGTAATAGTTCTCTCCTCTCCCGGCGACGGGGAAATGATCGGTAGGAGCATTTTTATCTGCTAACAAGTCCCTGGATTGAGCGAGACTCTCCTGCGGAAAGCCAAGCGGCCAAGTCGAACCGGCTACCGACCAGACTCGCTGCACGGTCAGTCCTGTGATATATGATGGTCGGGCCACGCACAGATAACCTCACCCTGTCGCTGCGAGCCAGTCAAGCTTCAAAAAGCGTAGAGACACCGGTGGACGCAGCGGCGGCGGCAACTTCGGGAGAACAGGACCAAGGAGCATGAGGACGTTGCCGCCATCCTCGTTCTGTCTTTGATAGAGAGTCTCTCCTTATGGCTGCTGGCGAAGAGTGAGCGACCGACCGACCGGCCGGCCTCATAGGCTTATGAGGCATGAAAGCGATAAGTGATAGCTCGGTCGGCTGGATTGGCTCGGACAGGTTCTAAACCCCTTTCTCCTGGGGCCCTCTTTTCGTCATCCGATTCCCCATCCGAGATCCTCCCGAGCATCCGTCTGTATTCACCCCCGTCGGCACGGAGGGGAACCTCTCATGGTTCCAGAGCTTGTCGACGACGTCACTGATAGGAGTATTGTGACTTCGCAGGAAATGAGCTCCATTGCTTCCCCAAAAAAACTCTCCACCTCTCTGTGCAATTCTTTTTCTGCGTTGTCCTCCACCGCTCGGGGTACAGGCGCTACCGTCTCTGCCGAAGATTCACCTCAATTGCCGACATTTACCGCGGGGAAAGCTTAGAGCGGGGATATTCTGGAAGAATAGGCTTGCATTCCTCAATTCATGGACCTCATCATGATGAAACCATCACCATGTTGTGGCATTCTTTGCAGTACCGCCGAAAATCGACGAGGAGTTCACGTCAAGCGAGGTCACGGTCCGCGAGAACGCCAACGTGTCGCTGAAATGTCGGGCGACAGGCAACCCAAAGCCCGATATCCGGTGGAAACGCGATCACGACCTCAAAATCTTCACCTCGCCCGAGGACAAAGGTGAGTTTTTGATTCCGGAGAAGGGCCATTGGGTTCATATTCTATTGGATATGCCGGCTCGGTCCACGGATCGATCGATCAGCGTCTTCAATTATGCGGATGACTCGCGCCGGAATTTTCCCAAAATGCTCCTGACCCCACGAGGTCTTAGGATAGTATACGGATTGGCCCACCTAGTCTGTCCAGCATGCTCCGCGGAGATACTGGACAATAATCTCTGCCGAATGAGGCCAGAAGCGGGCACGCAGATTGTGACGTGTTGCGAACACTGGATGCGAACTTTTGAGAAGGAAAAAGTCTGAGCCCTATCGAACTTCGGACTGTGAACAGATTCAAAAATGTTTGAATGTCAAAGCGCCGAATGAGACGTTGAATAAATTCAGGAGAGGCAAGCGACAGACTCGCAGCCGACCCGAAGATGTGAGCCGGCTGACAAATGTAGCGAGCAAGCGGGGAATCGTCGCAGAACTTTCTCCAACTTTCGACCCAGTGGTCTCAGTGGAGCGTGGCTCGATCCCGAGATTTCTCCCTCATTGTGTCGATCTCCGAACGTTTTTCTGCATCTTAAATCCGTCATTCTTCTCTCCGCTCTGACGGAGCATTCACTGTGTTACTCTCCCGGTGGTCGGCTTGCGACTCTTCCAGTGTGTTGGGTCGTCCTCAAGCGTGACTCTTCACTTCTGATGAGACCGACATCACAGCCACACGTGAGTTCGGCACGCGGCAGCGCGTTGGATGATTTTTCGAGGCGACTTCCTCTCCCGCGGTCAGCGAATCAGTTGCGCTCCTGAGGGTCATCGTGATTCCGACCGTAATTTTTCGGTCTATAATATTATTCGTTTCACTCTCGAGGGTCGATTGACCTTCGTCGCTCGGAACCGGAGTTCGTCTCCTCTGCTGCGGTTTGCCGTCGGCACGCTACCCGGGTTTCTTACCCGATGAATGCGCGGTGGGATTCCTTCGACGATATCGAAATTTCCCCCGATCCCCTCTTGATAATTAGCGAGTGCGTGAATCGGAGGCTCCCTTAATTGGTTGGCGGCTCAGTGGGTCGTCGGAGTGATAGACGCGGAGCCGATCTTCCCTCTGCGATCTCTAACTCGTTATGCGATACATGTCTCACGGTCTCCGTTCCCATTTCTCGCGACGCATTCGCTGGCTAAGTGCATTCCCAACCAATTTTATTACTTATCCCGCCGATCCATAAGGGAGGAAGCCGAGCAGATGAGAGGAATCTTGGTATAGCTGAAGGATGGGAGTTACGAAGTTCAGAGGGATGGGTAAGGAAATAACAGAAAGCGAGACATCTCTCTGGCTCGGGTGAATGAGGAGATGAATGATTCAGAAGAATCCGGGAATTGAATCGGGTGCGAAGAGGATACAGTCAAGTGCCGCGTACTCAGAATTTCCGGGAGCACCCAACAAAGGGTTCGAATATATTACAACAGGCATAAACATCTGATTCTAAATTGAGGGATTCCAGCTTTGAGGAAAATCGGGTAAAATTATTCCGAATCAGCGAGATTTCCAAGGTATAAGAGTTCCAAGTCAGCGGCACTTTACTGTACTCGAAAGAGCATTTTACTCTCATTCGCTTTGCGTAGAGTCCGTCTGTCAATGGGATGACGCTCCCAGGCAGTGATTGTATGGGCGAGAAAAAATCAGGGGAAGACGTTCGACTCGGTGCTCACTCACTGCCTTCATCCACTCCATTCCTTTCTAAGCTCTAGCAGTCAGCTCTACGAAACGATGAGAACTTCTGATTTCCGAGCCTGAGAGAGAGGAGAAGAGAGAGAGTATGTGCAAGAGTGCCTTAGGATAGACACATTCTACATCTGAAATGCTCAATCGAGCGATCTCTTCTCCTGCATCAATCGCAGCTCACAGTCAGCGTGAATCCCGTCTTCTAGATTTTCCTGTGCAGAATGTTTCACTGAAATTCTCATTCTTTGGGACATCAGTATATATCTTTCGATCCAGAAGCGATTGACGTCTTCCTCGAGAAACGCGACCCAGGCTGATCATCGGACCTCAGTGGGGCCGTACGACCCGTCATGAACGATTCTCCGACGGCTTCTCCCGGCTCCTGACTGAGTGTCCCTTCTGGGGTTTGATGTCCTTTTTCTGCGCAGCACTCCGGTGCGAGCGGGAAACGGGAAGAGCCTCGGTATCGAGCGAGAGCAACTCGAAGTCTCACATGTCCGTGGGCATGCGAGTGGGTTGCTGGCTTGTCCGCCTGTCCGCGAGCCATCTCCGTCGCAGCCACAATAGTCTGTGTGGGAGTTGTGAGATTCTTCGAGATCGCAGTCGTTGCTCCCATTCCGAATTCAACTTCACTGTCCATCAAATCGTGCGGCGCCGTCTTGGCGGGCTTCCCTCCGAGTTGCGCTCTGCCGCCCCGAGTTCTTCCTCTTCTTCGGACTCCCGCACGGCAACAACAGCTACGACGAGTACGGAGCACTCGAGCGACCAGCTACTCAGTCAGCCATCCACCGACGGGCACCTACCCCTTGCCCTTTCATTATTGCCTCATGCACACTCGGCTCGTCTCTCTCAATACATGTATATTTTTTTCCTCTCCGGAGAAGAGCTCATGTATAGAGCTCCCGTAGTCCAGCTATATACTACACCGAAAACCGGTCCGACAGATGAATCGAACTCTGGATGAATTGAATGATACCCGATTCGAGGAATTTCAGGTTTCTTCAGGAAGAAGGAGAATCCCTAAAACGGTTGACCTGAATTATTTTCACTTCAGGAGTTATCCTCCACCATGGCGAGTATCTCAACATGAGTCGAGTTCTCCGCCACATGATGGGTCCGTATTTCTGTATCGGGTCCAACGGAGTCCCACCCTCGATCTCCAAGCGGATCAAGGTCAATGTCGCATGTGAGTGTCACTTTCTTATCTATTTCTGTCTGTTTCCTCCTCGCTCACTCGACAATAGCCTTTATTGATATGTATGTATGTATCTTTCGGCAACTGTGCGATCACCGTCGAACCGAAGAATTTCGGTCTGGACCACATCCCGCGCGGCTCGTAACCCGCGTCTCCTGCGAACGCACGAAGATCGATAGACATACGAGCGGAGGGAAAAATGGCACCGATCTCGAGTCGCTGAGTCCTACCCACCTAGTGGCTGGCTGACATTGTGCGAATTGCAGTTCCGCCGATGACATGGATCAAGGAGCAACTCCAGGGAGTTTTTATCGACGAAAGTGTGAATCTCACGTGTGAGATAGAAGCCTATCCCAGAGGGGAAGTGTTCTGGACACGTGACGATGGAGACCGAATCGAGCGCTCGGAACTATTCGATGTCTCCATGGTGCCGAGAGGTCCAGAGTATCGTTACGATGTCGTCCTCACAATTCATAGAGTGCGACATGACGACCTGCGTTCTTACAAATGCGTAACAAAGAACGCTTACGGCGAGAACGAGGCAACGGTCAACTTAGTCCGTAAGTTAATCCACAGTCCGTCGATTCTACCAGATTGTGATTCCTGATGCTATCCGAAATTACTCGAAATGTTCGAGCCTTCCTGGAGTCCGTTCGGAATGGATCCCGTCCGGGGTACGGATGGAATTTTTCTCGACCGGCTCCTTCAATAGACTTTCCGTCCTTCAGAAACTCTACGACCAACGCAGCCGACCACGAAAGCAACGAGACCTCCAAGAAAACCTAAGAGTGAGAATTTTGATATTTGTACCTTTTCTTTATTTATATTTCGCGGATGGTGATTCGTCGAAGTCACGACCGAGTCTGCCCTTACAGCGAAAAAGCCGACCTCAACTCCCAAGTTCAGCCATCCCACGAAACACCGTGAGTATATCAGGTTCTATTCTACTACGCTCGGAATCTCGCGCTTCCCGGGAATATTCCGCTGACCATTTGATTTCTATGTCACAGACTCGACAAGGATCACGTCAACGGAGCCCTACGAAGAACATCCATCGAACAACGGTGAGTACTCGGTCAGAGATCTCCGGACGCCTTCACAGGGTTCTCGGTCGAGAGTTTCGAATCGAAACACAGGTGTCTGTTCGACCGATTTCGAATGTAAGCGAGTTCCGGACACAATAGAATAGGAATCTCAGAGTGGAGGCACTCAAAACGGAGCTCAGAGGTCGATTCCAATCGAGTCTGGCTCCCTCGACCAGCACCGTGTAGTCTACCTGGGCTGTAATGACAAATGTCAATTAGGGGTCAGTTTCAATATACCATTCGCTGATAGGTGAGGAACAGCGGTGAGGGCATCCAGGAATTGAGCACTCGGTCTCGCTCTCCTGAGTCTTTACAAAGACTTCCGAACTTCTTGAGAGAAGCGCGACGCGGAGAAATTCTACGCATACCCGGAATGCGACCTCAATTGAAATCGATCTCAACAATGGATCGAATGAGGCTGACTAGAGGGAGACAAAATCCAACATTACTCTGCTTCATTTCAGAAATCGGTCTCTACAGCGATTCAACGGCTGATCTGAAAGCTTCTTCCTCACTGATCTCCTTCTTCATTGTTGCACTGTTTGTCTTCAGTCAATGGCGGTTATTACAAGCCGCTCGACATTAATATTCACAGGAAGAGCTCCATCCGAGCATCGTGAAGGTCTAAGCATCAAGAGCTAGAAAATAATGATGAGGATGATTCGAAACGAGAGGAGGGTGAATGGAGATTCCTCCAATTATGACTTTTTCGATGTTCCGAGTGACTTCAACGGGACTAGAAGACAATAAGCAGGGTCACCATCAGGCGAGAAATGAGGCAAAACTGTGAAACCTATTTTTGACTGTGGTTCGTTCGTGGACACCGGGAGGTCTCGGAAATTTAGCGAGCGATGAGCTCGGCTATCTCAGAACTAGATAGAAAGACAGCTCTGCTTCACCCAGACAGCGGCAGGGACCGGTACTTCTCCTTACGAATGGAGAGAGAGAGGATTCCGAGAGAGGATTCACAAGGGAAAATTCAATTCCTCAATTCATCGATGACGAGTGCGATCGGTACTAGTCCCACGACCGGCAGAACATCTGGTCTCAGTGATTCGGAATTTAGGTAATCTCGAGCTAATAGTTTAACATGATGTCTTCGCCGGTTGGTGCAATCCTCAGCAGAAGAGAGAGAGGGAACTTGCTTGTCAGCATTCGTTCTTGGCTCCGCCCCAAAAAGTAGACGTTTGCTCTGCGGTGAAGTCTGCCATACTCATCGCCGAATGATCTGCAATCAGAGGGAGGACGCGGTCTCAAAATCGAAGAAGATGCAGACGAGGAGTCCGACGGAGGAAGAAGAATAGATCGGCGAGCTGACGACGGACTTGGGTGATAGCGTGTGAGTTTGAAGAAGGGTTGCGAGACTCTGGCGACGCAAGTGCCAAACTAGTGAAGGTCTGCCTACATTGTTAGCGGGAGGATGGGATGATTGACGTGAGGAACGGGGATCCGCTGGACTGACCGTCGCTGAAGCGACGCCGGACTTCGCATTCAGGGTTCGCGTTCGAATAGTGATTATAATAGCGCTTGCTCCGGAAAAAGAACATTTTCGAAACCAATCGTCGCCGGCACGATGACGCTTCTGAAGCTTCCGCTCCTAGTGCCCTCCGGAAAGGGCTGTCTGGTCGAACTTTTGGCCCCCGCCGATCTCCTCGAACCCCGACGGACCGACGAGAGTTTCCGTATCCAACTCTTCATCCGCTTGTCCGACATGAATACTCAACATTTCCTGTTTCCCTGTCTGAAAGAAATATATCACGCCGACGGTCGGAGTCCAGTGCGCGTTGACAGCCATTCCGCATACGAGGGATTCCTTATCAGAAAAAGGATTCAAAAACCAGAGGGCACATGAGCGGCTGGCTGAAAAACTCTTCAGATTTTTTTAGCCAACCATCCGGGATGTGAGCCATTGTCTGCGATCGGATAGCATTCAGAGAATGTAAATAAATATCCGGTTTCTGAGTCTGCTTACTCCGTGAGAATGAGACCGGGGGGAACAGACAACAACTGGAAACGGAAAATAAGTGAACGTTGGAACACCAGACCATGACGAATCGAATGCAATTGTAAAATATTGGGGGGTACATCACCGGAAGACGGATTCTTTGTGTTGTGCACGTTTATTTACGACATTCAAGGGAATCCCTACCTCGTCGGGGTCATCGCCTTCACGTCTCTCGCAGATTCGGAAGGAACATGATTTGAAAAGCCCCTCTTTTCGAGAGAGTGGGATTCCTCTGTGCCAGGTAAACTGTTGATTTCCAATCGCGGAGACGAGTCGGACTGACGTTCTGTTTATGTCATCTGAGGGCATTTTATAAAAAGTAGTGGAATTGCCGAAGGATGCACCGGCTAAAAAATCCGTGTGTCCTATCAAGCGAAGGAATGATGAAGGAGGAACCTGCGAAGTTGTCACACCAATTCTCTATGCTCACTTCTATAAATACTGACTAGGCTGATTGGAACGGCTGATCAATACAGCTGAAGCTACACGGATTCCGTAGTGCTCTGTTCGAAGAGATTCCGATCCAAGACGTCCCGGACTCTACCACTCGACTCGCCCCAAGGAGCTTGCGAAATCTAGACTGCAAAGAGCGGATTTCGGTATCCTTCCTGGCTGTATCACGCAACCATTAAGCCATCTCTGAGAAATAGTTGATTGTGTCTTGTAAATAAAGGGAACATACGGGGCAAAACAAAAATAACTCGGAAGAATCTCTTGTTTTCTTTTTCGAATCACGGGAAGCGGGGCCATTTTCAGGCTGCATCTCCATGCAAAGGGAATCTCCGCGCTTGAATCACGCGAGTTCTTCATTGACGGAGTCGCTTGAAGAAGGTGCTCTAGTCGTCGATGCCTCCTTGCCTATGCATGAAGCCCGCAATCGAATGGCGGGATGAGTTTCGGCGCGCGGAGTTCCTGAGCAGCGACAGACTTATGGGATCTCGAGCCCGTTCGCTCGGGAGAGCTTTTCGGAGCTTGCATCCGTCCTCTTCTTAGTTATTCCCCCTCCCGCTAAAGCTATTGCGATCCGTGCGATTTTTCGTGGCGCTCTTCGTTCACCCTCCGAAGTGGATTATAGCTCATAGCAGCCGTTCGCCCGGCATCAAGACAGGCTGCGGCACAACCCACCAACGTAAGTGAATGAGGAGCCTCCTCGTGCGGGGGACTTTGGGGGATCGCTCGTCGGTGCGTCCGCCGGGCGGTCGTTCGCTTAGTTTGACTGGGGACTTGACTGACGGACCGGCCAGCCCGCGGAAAGGCCGTCCGGCGCGAAGACTGCTGGCGGCGGCCGGTCAGGAAACCGGACTAATGCACACAAGCTTACGAGCGTCTCAAATCACGAGTTCGCTACCCTGTAGATGACCCGGTGGTCGCTAATGCACTTTAGTCACTGACACGATGTTTAACATCAACAACAAGAACGGCCACCGACGGTGTCAACGACATCAACGGAATAACAAATGAAGGGGAGGGGGAACCATGGGTGAAAATTAAAAAAGAAGAGAATGGTTCAGGAAACACCAGGGCAATTCGCCACTTCACTTATTTATACCAATCGGAGGCCTGTCCTATCTTCGAGTGTGGTACCACTGACGATGGTGAGCACGACTCGTTTCTCACCCGAACATTGAGGCCCACCCCCTTCCCCCTCCCGCGTAATGCGGATCGGATGTGACTCAATTATTTCGGAACTTTTCGAAATTTGACGGTCAGCATGGGCAATGTTCGCCAAGCTCTTCCAGGCCGCTCGAACGTCGATTTAGAGGCCGCTACGCAATTGAACGCGAAATCACCTTAGGAGCACCGCGTCATTCCCAATCCCGATCGCAGACAGAGCTTCCCCCAGGAAGAGCGGGGGAAACCTTCAACTTCAGATTCTCGATCGGCGCCATTGGTGGAACCTTCGAGATGACCCTTGCTGTACATCGCAAGACCGTAATCTAAATCGAGCATTCTACAAACGGCTTAATGGGGCTTCAAAGATAGTCCCGAAGAAGAATGACTTCTGAGGTTCAACGGGAGCTGGGAATTGGAAGGAGCGAGACGGCTTTTTATCGCGCCTTATTTTAAATTGACCGTATAATCTTGGAGCGATCCCCAGCTCTTCACTCTCCGCTGCTCTTCCCTCTAGGCTAATTACCACGGAGCCGACATATTAGTCCGCGCAGATTTTCTGCCTCGCGTCTTTGCTTCTTCCTTACCGCTCTTGCGTAAAAAGCGCAGCGATGTTACTCAAATCCCGGAAGACTCCCAACCAAACGGCCGAGATCCACGGAATCTCATTGACTCGCATGAAGTTTGGAAGATCTCCTCCCATAAAAACGTGTACGGAAGTCCGCTCCGTAATTCGTCAACAGCGTCTTCCAGGAAACGGGAATCACAGGGTTGAAAGAAAAATAGGACGTAACAGTGTTGGAATTCCCCGAACAAGTATACGCGCGAAGAACACGGTCTTGATGGGAAGCTTTCTTTTCGAATAATGGAGCATGCTTGCGTCATGAGCTGGAGAATACCAGCCTGTCGGGCAGACGAACAGGCGGGAGCTTTTGCTGGTAGGCGATGTTTGTGCACATGCATGACGCCTTCCAATATATCAAAGTCGGGGGAACGAGCATGGGTTGAAGCGAACGATTTGTCTCTTCGGAGTAAGCTTGCAATAAGAACTCGACTGGGGCCACTTTGTTCTTTTTCTACTTTGCATCATTTGCAGACTGTGTGAAGCGGCTTGTGAAACTTCAACAAACAGGTTGAGTCTCCGCATCTCGAGTCGTAGGCATCTTCGTCCTGAGCTACGGATCCCTGCTGTGAATACCTCCGACCATTTTGGCGCAGAGTCCGGACCGATGTGTATCGAAATCGAGGAAATCGACCAGAGCCTTTAATGTCGATGATGTGCTCACAGCAGAACTGGGAGCTCTCCAACTCTATTCTCAATCATGGAGATATTCATTCTGTCGAGATCGTCTCTACGCGACATATCATCCGCCGACGAATGGAGGAAACAAGAGCTCCAGCATAAGAAATGAGAATCCTTCTTCCTTCGTCGGCAACTCATTCCGCTCTGCGCAGAAGAAGATAACCATCACCGAGGGATGAGGAACCAAGGGCAGCTGACCTTCGAGAATCCATTGACCCCGTTCGGTGGGGAGCGGAGAAATTGGAAAGTTTGGGAACTTGCAGGACTCATACTTGGGCGATTTTTTCCTATCGTTGCGCCTCCTCCTGCAATGCGCTCTTCATATCGGAGAACCTCAGAACCGGAAGATTCCACGACGACGACGCCGACGACCTTCCCCTTAATGGAGGCGGGATCGCTCGGAGCACTAGCAGCGGCCGAACAACTGTACATTTATTTGAAGAACAACGTGGACGTCACGAAATCAATTTAGGAAGGAAATTCCCCAAAGGGAAACCCCCGACGAGGAGCGATTCCGTCAAAAGCTCCAGTGACGAGTTACACATTTATATTCAATGTCTGGCGAACTGCCAAACTGATTCAAACTTTTCAGCCGCCGGTCGCCACTACCGCCTTTGGAGACTCTGACGAGAGAAGGAGTTCAGCAGGCACGAGCAGAAAGGAAGTC